GCTGCCGCAGGGCAGCTGGAGGGCGGTTGGGGCCCGAACCCAGGTCCCCCCAGTCCAATTTCGTCCCTCCTGCTGCTGCAGCCCCACTCGCTCCCTCCTGCGCCACTGGCACGGGGAATGATGACACCTTCCCCACGCTCAGAAAATAGCAGCCTGTCTCCCCCTCGTCCCTTCGCTCTCAAGCATCACAGGACACTTTAAAAAAATTGTTCCAATTTTGGGGTGGAGAATGAGGTCAGCAGACCCAAGGGGGGACCGCTTGTTGGTGACAGCTGACAGTGTTCATGTCACCTTGAAACTCCCTCCTGCCCCACGTGGGTGCGTCCTAAGCCTATTTTACAGGGGAGCTACTATATGTTGGGGACAGAGAGAGCAGGAAGGAATTCACCGAATGGTGGTTTTGGACGCAGGCTTCCAGGTCGCCCCTAACATTTGCAGGACCTGGGGCAAGAGAACAAATGAGGGCTGCAGACCTATGTCTAGACACCTTATAAACACACTAGCAAAATGTTGATGATGTTTAAGCTTTCGCCTTCATAAATACACCTTCATAATGAAGAAGGCTCCAGTTTTGACCTTTTGGACCCCTGACAGTTCTGCAGAACGATGTTGTGTAAGAAAAGACAGCTCCAAACCCAACACATCCCCAGCAAGCACCCCCCTAACCTTTGCACCCCCATCCCTGGATCAGGAGACTCACCTGCCTTACTTGGTCACCCAGCCCCACATCCTAGTTCTATCTTTTTTTTTTTTTTTTTAAGATTTATTTATTTGTGTATACAGAACTGGGGTACAGGCCAGAGGCTCAGGGGTGGTGAGAGGCTTCACCAGAGACAGAGTGGGGAGCAGAACAGGCCGATTGACGAAGTACACTGCTGAGGGGAGCAGCGGGCGGGTCTGGAGAGGTCTGCCACACCATGTGGTCACCTCCGGGGCTGGGATCGAGCTCATGCTGAAGTGGTTTTAGCTTCTTAGTGCTGTGCTGTAACCCGCTGCGCCACCAGGGAAGGCCCCCTAGTTCTATCTCAACACCCTACAAAGAGCTGCCCCTTCGCTGTCTTCAGTTGTCCCTCAAGCTCGGGGTGTACATGCTAGTGCATACCAACCCCAAGGAGAACAGGTCCAGGGAGGCTCATCCCTTGGTCCTGCTGTATTCAGCTCACAGGGAGAGTTATGGCTAGAGGAGGCTCAGGCCTGAGCCCTTGGAAACACCCTAGATACAGTCCACCCCTCCCTGTCCTGGGTTTAAGGTGCTTACTGAACCAGCCTTCCCGGCAGCCTGCCGGGCTCGGGCTGAGAACTGGAGGTGTCTTTTTCCTGGAGGGTGACTTGGACGATCCCCAAGCAGGATTTTCAGTTACTTGTGTTATTTATTTTCTTGGGAAAAGTGTGGTTTGATCTCAACTTGTGGATTTCTGGAGGTGGGGAGGGCAGGGAGGTGGTGACAATGGAGCTTTTTTCCTAGCCAGGCCTCTAAGTTAGAATTAGTCTCCCAAGACACAGCTACATGTGGGCTTCGGCTGCCACTTGTACCCTCCTCAGCTCCTCACCCGGTTGACTTAAAAGAAAAAAAACAAAACAAAACAAAAAGACAACAATCCAGGGCCACATAAAGAGGAGGTAAGAGTAAGGGCCGTTGGGCACCCAGATGGGGCCAGCAGAGGTCCAAGAAGCAGCAGGGGCAGGGACTGGTGAGGGTGGTGACAGGCACTGCTCGCTCTGCCCAAGTTAAAAAATAAGTCCAGTCTCCCCACGGCCCCAACAGATGGGCTTGCTGTCCTACATGAGAGGACACATGTTAGTCCTCACGGGGCCAGGCCCTGTGCTGAACACTCCACGCGCATATTCTCATTTAATCCTTCGCGGTCCATTATTATTCCCATTTTACAGGTGAGGATGTGACCCTAGAGGTTAAGTAGATTGTGCAAGGTCACAGGGTTAATAGAGGTGATAGAACTCAAGTTTAACTGGCCTCAAAGACCTCCCTGACCACTACAGTGCATTGGCTCTCAGGGGCAGGAAGCCCTCCCAGAAGCAGAAGGATGAAGCTCGAGAGGAGAAAGCACTTCCCGACAATGAGAACGCGTGTGGTGGGAGGTGAGAGTGGAATGGGGAGGCCAGACACACAGGCAGCCTCCCACCTGAGTCTGGATCTTGGTCTGCGTTTGGCCTGTGATGGTCTTTCAACGGTCCGTGGGGCCAGTGCCGGATGGAGGGGGCAGCAGCCTGATCCCCCTCTGTTCGACCACCCACTGTCCTCTGCTCTACCCCAGCCCAGTGCCAAGACCCAAAATCTGCTTCTCCTCTGAGCATCACATCTGAGCTGTCATATAGGACCTTCCCTCCTAGGAAGCCTTCCTTGCCACCTGGGGGGCAGAACCCCTGTTTTACAGCCCCAGTTCCAGCACAGACAGCTACAACACAGGTCCACTTCTGTGATGGCCTCCCCTAGCACAGACACAGACGAAGACACAGACGGGACCTACCAGCCCCAGGCCCTCTGGGACTGTCCCCGGTCCCCTTACCCCTCAGCATGCACGTCCCACCCAGTGGAAGCAAGTAATCTGGGCCCTGAGTTCAGCGGCTCAGCTAGTCAGTGACTCTTACCTCATTTGCCCCCAGACAGAAGCCGCGGGCCCCCATCACCCCCTAAGATGGGGTGGGAGAGAGGATGCTGAGCCTGGATGAGGCACAGGTACGCTGAGTTCATGAGGTTCCTTATTCTGTAGCCTCGCCAGCCCCAACCTGTTTTCCAGAAAGCTGCTTACCCAATGTCGCCTCTGTGTTTCACCACCCCGGAGCCAGGGGTGGCCAGCCAGGCCCCTCCAAACTTCCCTGAAGTTTAGTCGCACCGCTAAACACCGGCCTCGGTGGGCAGAGTCAGAGAGACGATCTTATTGTCCCTTGGGGTACCCCAGTTTCGGGACAAGGGTCCATGGCAGGTAGAAGTAGCTGCCTGTTCTCCCGCGCAGCCCTCGAGGTCCTCGGCGCGGACCGGCCCGCGGCGCTGACTTACCTGCGGGACAGAGTCGGAGCCCGCGGTGGCCACCTGCTCTCCCCGCGCTGCGGAGCGCAGCGGCTTAGGGCTGTCCGGAGGGGGCGGGGCCTGCTCGGGGGGCGGGACCTGCTCGGGGGCGGAGCCTCGCCCGGGCGGTGTGGGCGGGC